GGCCTCCGATATTTTAGGAGCTTTTAGTTGTGGTGTGGACCCTTTTTAAATTAATTTGAATGTAAGGCAGTGGAGCAACAAAAATGAAAAGTTGCAGAGGTCCTCGCAAAGTCAATCGACGGGCCTGCTTGACCTAGTTTTGCAATACACATTATTTTTTAGATTACTAAATTACATTGTTGTTTTATCTTTTGTAATCCAATTTTTGAGATAAACTTATTAGTAACTAAATGGTTTTTAAAACTCAAAAAAGATTTACATCAGAAAAAGCTCTGGAAACATTAATTTAAATGTTGAACGCAATGTTAAAAAAAAAAAAAATTATAATATATATAGTTTCCAAGTATTTTTGTTTAAAGAGTACAAAGCAGAGACAAAAAGATTACGAAGTAGAGACCACAATATTACGAATTAGTGACCTAAAGAGCAGGGCCGTCTTAGCAACATTGGAGGCCATGGGCACAACAATGCATTGGCTCCCCTAGCAACACACATACCTGGACCATGAGAAAGGGGCGAATGGGGCACTAGCTTAAAGCTAATCTCAAACCATGGGTGGGGGGGGGGAGGGGACATCCCCAGCTCCTGACTAACTCACCAAGAGGTATTAAAAATTTAAAATAAAATAAACTTTCAATAAAAATCAACTTCGTTGAGTTCAATTTCTTGATACAGAAAACACAATCATTCAAAAACAATAATAGTTTTAAAACATTTGTAGAAATGAGCTATACATAATGACAGATGATGATAAATTATCATTATTGAAGGATAGAATTGATAAATATAATAGATTATTTAAAATAAATCAACATAAAAGGTTGAATATTTTTTGTTGTTGCTGAGAATTGTTGTATAATTGGTTTAAAGTCAATATTCTTAAGAATGTCATTGTCCCAGCACATAACTTAAAGCCATTTCAAATAATTTTGTTCCATGTACTGCAAAGCTGATTCCTACCTTATTATTTTTCAATTCATATCTTGGTAAAGTAAAGCTTGGTGACAAAAGTTCTTGCCTTTTAAAAGTTTTAAAATTGTCCAACTTTGATTCGCATTTAAAATATTAATTTTGGAATATGCTGATATATATATATCGTGGTTTAAAATTGGGAATTAAAAATCAAATTAAATTGTCAAAATCTTTCAATATTCATTAAAAAATGCAAAGCATGATGCCTCTATAACAGTAAGTCTCCGAGAAACGTGGGGCCCCCTACAATCGCGGGGACATGGGCCATTGCCCACTGGGTCCATGCCTTAAGAGGCACTGCTAATGAGTACGAAGTTGAGATCTAAAGAGTACAAAGAAGAGACAAAATGTGTACGAAATAAAGACAAAAAAGAGTACGATGTAGAGAGCAAAAGAGTGAGAAATAAAAAAAATTAAAAAATTTTGAAAGATCTACACATTTTAAGCATTTTCAAAACTTGTTACTTTTATAAATCGTTTAAGAAATGGATAATTCTTTAAGAAAACATTGTTTCTTTACAAAGAAAAATCATATATTTATTAATGTATCAATTTATCCGTGGGGAATCGTACAGAAATAAAATATTCATTTCCTAATATTTAATTGATTAAAATGTTTATTTGGAATTTCAAACAACTATAACTTCCTCTAGTTGAATTTAAATTGCCTCTTCCATATACTTTCACACATTTTTTAAAACAAATCCCTATAGTTTAATGTTAAAATGATGATTTCTGAAATTAATTTTGTTGTCTTCAAAAGTAGTACCTAAAGTGGAAAATATTTTTTAAAGACAAAACAAAATAATAATTTCCTTCCGCAATATTAAGAACGCAATAACGAAAACAAGAACAGAAATTTAATTTTTCCCAATAAATTTGATTATGCCTTAGTAATAGTTATAATTAGACAACAATAATATGATCATAAAAAAAGAATATCCAAACTTTCAAATTCCTATGAAGTACCCAAAATAGTTCTTAATTTTTTTATTTAAATATATTTATAATAATAATACTTAAACACATTCTCAAATGATGGCAGATGTATTTTATTCGCATCTTATTTCATTTGATTTTATTGCGGCTAAAAATTATTTTTTTTAAATCCTATCATTGATTTTAAGGTTCCGACAGTTTTTAAATAATGAAAAAAAGGAAGAAGATTACGCCAGCCTCCAAGAAACCAAGACCAAGCACATGCTGGAGTACGCTGATAAGTGGACCGAATCGGGGACGTGACCGAAACGGCATCGTCTGCCACGCGGAATGTTTTTGGCTTTTGCATGTGATTTGATTAAACTTGATTGTCCTTTCTTGTACAAGCAAAAGTAAACTATTTAAATCTACTCTCATTTCAAATTCCTGTTTGGTCTGAAATTAAAATTTTCAAAAAGTAATTTTCTTGTCCATTGTTATATGGTTTGAAGAAAACCTTTTTATTTTCAGAATAATACTTCTCTCGAATTTAGCGAAACGACTTCCTTCTAAAACACGTATATTATAATGTAATCTTTTTAAACGTTGAACATCTGAAGTTATGTTATATTTTATTACCGGATTGCCCCAGATCCATTTACAAACTTTATTATCCATGTTCAACGTCAGAAAACACGATCCACCGCCGAGGTTTTCCAGTGTAAAAATTAAATACGCTTCATTCAGCGCCATATCCCATCATTCTCACCAGACCAACCTCTCATATTGAAATCCCTACTCTCACCAACCATCAAAAACTCTACATATAACTTATATACAATTATAGGGTTCTGGGTGGTAGAGTGGTCTAAACTGAGTCCATCACAAGCTAGAGGACTGGAGTTCAATCCAAAGCAGAAGCTGGGGGGGGGAGGGGGGGGGGGGGGCGCGAGAGACATGTTCACCTTTGATGGCAACATGTCTATCAGAAAGCATAATTTGAAAAGAAAACCCGGAGATGGAGTCCCGTGGGCAGTATGACACTGACACGAAGATGATTCTGATAGCTCCTGTGACTTAGATCACTTTAAGAGCACAGTAAAAGACACAAGACACACGCTAGCTGGCCATCTACTGCATCCTGGCCCAGTTCCTTTCATCATGACTAAGTCTTGAAATTGGATCAAATAGGCAGGGACGAAAGAGGGAGGCTGACGAATTGATCAACACTTCTTCACTTTATTCAACCTACAAGCCAAGAATACTATTTAAGTTGAAAAAGACGAACAATATACTACGATTTACAACAATAAATTAAAATACGGAACAGTACAATATACTTTGAACAGATTACCAGCTCTCTTTGAACTGCGCCACCGTCTAAAAAAGAAAGAACAAAATCACAAGTTACGGTTGTATTTTGTGTATATTTGTGTGTGTATTATCATGAGTTTCTTAGATTATATCTAATCAAAGATACTAAATGTATGCAAACAAATCTTCCAGAAAGATCAAATTTAGAAAAAAGCTCACAAGCCTTCAGTCATATCTGATATAGAAAAATTACCCAAAAGCAGAAAAACTAAATTTGTATTTGAAATGGCACAGAGGACACTACACAGAAGAAAATGTTCTATATAAGAAAAATAGCCAAAGTCTAAACCAAAAGCTTTATGAGACTTTACCCGGAAACCCAAATATTTAATTATTTTAGAAACTATTTCACCCAATACGTCCTGCGAACGTCCTCGTGCAGAGATACTGATCTTTCATCGAGCATCTCCCCAGGTGGCGGACAGGGGAAAGCCCACCAGTTCTGAAGGGTACCGAGGAAATAAAAAAATACCCGGGGCATACCAAAATCCGAACCAACTGCCTTGTAGGAAATAGTAGAATCCACAAAGGCTAGGAAACCTTACCCACAAACTATGCCCCGCTCCCCCCCCCCCAGACGGTTGTGCACATGACTAACAACCCGGCCATTTAAAAAAAATTACGTTACAAAAGCCAATCAGCGTAATAAAATCCGTACTGATACCAATGGAAATCGACCTATTCCTAGATATGGACATGATTTGTGGATTGCGACTTGGAATGCATTAAGGATGTTTAGAGCAGGAGCCTCAGCCAACCTTGTAATTCACTCAGCTTGTGGCATGCCCCAGTGTATTCATTAAGGATAAGCCTATGTTGAGCCCCGCAGTGTACCATTGATCATATCCCCAATTTATCCGTGGGGAATCGTAAAGAAATAAAATATTCATTTCCTAATATTTAATTGATTAAAATGTTTATTTGGAATTTCAAACAACTATAACTTCCTTTAGTTGAATTTAAATTGCCTCTTCCATATACTTTCACACATTTTTTAAAACAAATCCCTATAGTTTAATGTTAAAATGATGATTTCTGAAATTAATTTTGTTGTCTTCAAAAGTAGTACCTAAAGTGGAAAATATTTTTTAAAGACAAAACAAAATAATAATGTCCGTCCAAAATATCCCTAATTGACACTCCTCCACCATATCCCCCGCTAATAAAGAGGAATGTTATTCTATGGCATGTCTTGAGTTCTGATCATGGTGCCAATCAATGAAATGTTAGTCTAGACGTTGTCTAATCAAGTAAAATATTAGTTTAAGGGGCCATTTTGACCCCTTATAAAAGTAAGTGTTTGTCTGGGTTCTGGTTTTGGTGAACAGCAATATTCGAATCTTAAGTTTATTGAAATTTTAAAAAAACAACAAATAATCAACACTAATCGTCAGATTTTATTAACTAAAATTCGATTAATTTAAAAAAAAAAATAAAACTACCGAGGAAAATTGTTTATTTAATAAAGCAATTAACATTGATAACAATCGATTACGTAGATGTTCCAAAGGCAAATAAGTTTGGTATTTAAAAGAACAATTAATTGGATATTGAAGAGACAATTTAATAGATATACAAATATATGCATTATAAAAGAAAATCTTTCTGGGATATTATAAGCATAAGCATATTTGGACATCAAAAAGAAATTTACTTGAATATTAACAGGAAAATATCTAGATAAAAATACACAGTATGCAAAAAATGTTCAAAAAGCATTGATTAGTAAAAAAAAACCCAACAGATTATAATTACTCTTAGTTTCACTATATCACACTAATGTGATAGAAATTAGTTGTTACTTTTGGTTTAAATTTTATCTATGAAAAGTGACACATATTATGATATAAAATGTATATACAATTGACGTTCCACTTGTGATTAAAAATCATGCGTTTTTAAAATGTAACTCAGTGGGAGTTATCTTCACTTTAGTGATCTAGAAAGAAATTGTATGTATTTTACTATTGTACATTAGCAATGACAGAACAAATCAATTTATCATGATTTATATATTCATATGTGCAAAACATCTTTATTGAATATTAATTATTCTCAATTATAAACATTCACATAATTACCGTAAAAAATGGGGCAAAATATATTTACTCCAAAAAGTGTTTTGAAAAACATGAAAAATGACAATGAATTTTTGTTATCAAAGAAACTATATCCCGCTATTTGATTTGAATAATTTCTAAAAGACTCAGTTCTCTAAAAAACATGCAAAGCAGTGTGACAATTGGACGTTATTAGTTATTCTCAGATGCCTTATTTTGTTGTTAAAAATGTCCAGTCAAAACGTTTGTTCTATTGTTCTTCATGCTTTCCTCTGAAATGTGTTTTGAATTTCTTAACATTGACAATCAATTGTTGATTCAAATTTAGTTCATTTTATTTTAAAAATAGAATTTTGTTATATCATTTTTTTTTTCTTCTATATATATTTGTGTTCATTTTATTTGTTCAGTTGTAAGCCACTTACAGCTAATCCATCTGCTGAGCCGCTATGCACTTCAAGGACCCACACTTTCTCTTGATTTAACCTGTAAATAGGCGCTCCACTACTACCTTTGCATGTGGTGAGGTGATATTTGTTTTTATCTGGTTCAGCATACGAACCGATGGAAACTTGTTTTGTATGACCATGGGGATGAGACACCGTGAGAACTAGATCGTTCTTAGGCAAATTTCTATATTTTTCATGCAATTCTTTATGCGTATTAACAAAATCATAAATATTATCCATTAGCTGTTTGACAAGATTCATATCACCGGTTTTACAGATTAACAAACAATTATCTTGCTCAGTGTTAACATATGTAACTTTGGTACATTTCAGTTTGACGACTTCAGAATCTGCATTGTCAAAATTTAAGATGCAAGTCGTGTGTTCAGCTTCACTCTGATCAAAAACAACATGGCTGCTAGTGGCTATTTTAATCTCACCCCATTCCTGACCAAAATCCCGTTTCCTTTCAGAGAAGATTATTTTTCCTGTCGCACGGCAATGTCCTTTCGGAAATTTTGCATTTTTCCCTGGGAATAACTTAGGCCTTCTGGGACTTGAATGGTTAACTTCAATTTTAACAACAAGTTTACCCAGAGCTTTGACGACGGACGCAATGTCCTCCCTTTCATAAGCTTCAGGCAGTGTAGGATAGAAAAGCGAGTCTATGGGGACGTAATCCTTGTGGTTGCCCTTAGTACACTGATAGTTAAGAAAACTCGATGACTCAGCAAACCTGCAGTCTGGCTCATCGTCAGCAAGTTCTGAAAGTGAAAGTCAAATGAGTTGACATTGTCATGATGATATGTGTTGTTTTTTTCAAATCTGTTTATTATAATGTATGCCATTACAATAATGTCCTGTTGGTTTGGGGGGGGGGGCATTTTTTGGTTCTCCCCGTACATTAAAAATGGCTTATGTATGCTTTTTAAAAAAATGGTTTTTGCTATTAAGGGGCGTGTCAAGCCATGGGAGTTCATTAATAGTTATTGTGAACTAGATAATGTTTTTTATTGTGCAAGGTGTCTTTAAGGAGAATTATTATGTATGGAACGCCTTTTCCTTATGTGTTGTTTTTTTCAAATCTGTTTATTATAATGTATGCCATTACAATAATGTCCTGTTGGTTTGGGGGGGGGGGGCATTTTTTGGTTCTCCCCGTACATTAAAAATGGCTTATGTATGCTTTTTAAAAAAATGGTTTTCGCTATTAAGGGGCGTGTCAAGCCATGGGAGTTCATTAATAGTTATTGTGAACTAGATAATGTGTTTTATTGTGCAAGGTGTCTTTAAGGAGAATTATTATGTAATGAACGCCTTTTCCCGCTATTTACTTGGTGTCACATTTTTATGATAATTATGACGTATAGTCTAGTCGGTCTTGGCTTACGTGCTTATTCGTCAGCTTTAGACGAGGGCTGCGGCTATTCGGACCCGGGTCCGAGAAGTTAGAGTTTGGGTTTTATTAAAAATATTTAAAAATTATTGTAGGGTTGTAAGACAAAATTAGGTATCAAATGAAAGAGAATTGAATGGACTATTACAAACATATAGTCAGTTTAACTAAAACAAACTACCACAAAGGACATCCGAATAGCATTTAGTCAAAATAGAAGCGGAAACGAATCGCCGCTATTCGGACCCGGGTCCCTTTAGACTCAATGCCATTCGGATGTCAATTGTGTAATTTTACTTTAGTTAAACTGAAGAATTAAGTTTACAAACATATAGTCTATTCAATTATCTTTCATTTGATACCAAATTTAGTCTCACAACCGAACAATAATATATTTATTTTAAATTTTAATCCCCACCTTTAACTTCTCGGACACGGGTCCGAATAGCCACTTGGTTAGTCGAGACATCCTTGTTAGCGGATTGTTGTGTATTATTCTCTCTTATTGCGAGCAGGGCAATACATGTGTTTCATGAAATGTACATTATGTGTATATATATAAAATTAATGTTTGTATATATATATATGTCCCGTATGTGCTCTTAAATCATTCATACGATTGCGATAAAATTTGGTGAGTTGTTTTCCGCACGCCCGCAAATTTTCTAAAATATTACAACCATTTTACAATATTCCATTTTGGCGACCCTTAATTTCCTGAATTGTCTTTTCTTATACGAGTTCTATAAATATAATTTAAAACAGAGCTACTGCATGGGTGGATGAAATTTTAATTAAATATAAATAACAACATTTCTGTTTGTGTGTGACATAATTTGGTATGTACAACCATTTTACCATGTTCCGGTTTTGGCCGGGGGGGGGGGCACTGAAATTGTTTTTTTTTCTTATATGAGCTGATTTAAATATAATTTCCTTATGAATTCCTTAATAAATCATCCGAATGAGATACATCTTTGGCGAGTTCTTTTGTGAACGCCTGCAAATGTTTCTGAATAAGTGCAAAGATTTTACAATATTCCATTTTGGGCCGCCGACCCTTAATTCAGTTGTTGTTTTTTTTGGGTTATATGAGCTCTAGTCTATATATATTATTTCAATCCATTGCTACAAGTCTGTGGATTCAATTTTCAAAATACATGCTTCTAACATAGACAGCGGTATGTAGCCTGCTCATGCTTCGAAAAGTGTTCTAATTTATCGCTGTGCCCACAAAATGGATGGATCAAACAAAACTTATTGTCTATATAAAACATACTTTAAGTGACATTGTAAAGCATGCCGGGTACTCTCTAATGTTATATATATTTATAGATGAAATTTTTTATTTCTAATTGAAAAGGACTTGCTTTTAATTTGGCGTATGAGGACTTAAGAACCACCTTTAAAAGAATAAGAGGAACGTAAACTAATCAAATATATTGGAATGTGACAGGACGGAAACATTAGCCCTATAACTGTCATAAAGGCCGATGATCGGCCGTTAGCAAAATCGTAATTATATATGCGAATTGCTTTAATGTTTGTTTTTTAAGAGGGAAATCATTCCATATAATGAGTTTTCTTCCTATTTCCGTTACATTCTCAGTCTGTTTATGTGCCTTTATCCGTAACTTGTTTTTTGTGTATTTTTTTTTTGGGGGGGGGGGGGGGGGGGGGNGGGGGGGTTAATCAGGTGGGACATTTTCTCAAATTATTTCACCGCCATAACGTCTCTTGAAATTAAAACATAATTTCTTTATTGGAATCATTTAAAATATATTAAAATGAAAGCAAAGATATGACAGCATAGGCGCTAGCGATGATTTCGAGATAAGAGTCAGATATTGACAATGTTATTGTATTGTCGTATTGCTAGAGACAAATTCGTTTGGGAAAGTGTAGAGATCGAACATGAAAAAGACACAAGTTTGATCCCAAAGATCTACCTCTAAGATATTTTTGTTTGTATATGTTCTGGAGTATTAATTAATAAACAATGGACTTAATAAATTTAAATAAAAAGGAATTTTTGAACTCATGTTGTGCCTCCTCCCAACCCCCCCCCCCCCCCCCCCCTAAAGACACAAGTTTGATTCCAAAGATCTTCCCTTAAGATTTTTTTGTTTGTATATGTTCTGGAATAATAAATTATAAACAAAGGACTTAATAAATTTAAAAAAAAAGGAATTTTTGAACTCATGTTGTGCCCCCCCCCCCCCCCCCCCCCCCCCCCTTGTGTTTTGTATGAGAGAAATTTGATTGTAGTCAATGAAAGAATTCACCAATATCACAATTTTCCATACAAGTAACTATAAATTGTCATTTTCTGAACGAATGTTGCTTCTAGTATATCAAAAAACTTGATTTTATGAAATTTTGAACAATTTATAGAGTATTTAGGGTGTGTTGAATTAAGAAGATGTGGTGTAAAATTTTACCCACTCTGCAAAGGTCAAGGTCAATTTCAACATACAAAATATAAAAACAAATTCTTTTCAAACCATAAAATACCTTTTCTAATTACTCTCAGAAACTTGATACCTGTAAGTTGTAAGGGTCTCTGAATGGATTTACTCTGGCGTTTTCGTAATGTTTGACAAGCATATGAAATTGCTAAAAATGGCTTGACGCCATAGAAATTTTGTTCTTGACATAGCTATAGGGTTAAGGTCCTGCAAGGACACCACTGTTTGTTGTTACGCCCCTATTTCAACGGAACCCTTACCTCAAGCCAAGCACTCAAAATAACGGAATTAATAGATCAGCTTGCATGTTAAATATCTTTATAAAAAAACAACAGTTTTATTGGTATACAAATGCACAAATTCAACAAGTTTTTTTTTTTTTTTAAAGATTGAAATAGAAATTATGCTGAGTAACCATTGAACAGCACGTTATATAACTAAAATAACATAGTGTTATGTTGATGAAGTTGTATGATTATGTCTTGGTTCTATTTACAAAACGTACCAGTTTGCAGAATGTCCATGTCCAGTTCGTATGCCCTCTCCATATTTTCTTGATCAGAGTTTGGCTCAACCTTTGTGGAAATAAAAGATATAAATGATAAGCATAACATTTTTAACTAACAACAATATAAGTATTAAACATATCAACTAACATCGCTATGAATCTTAAACATATCAACTAACATCGCTATGAATCTTAAACATATCAACTAACATCGCTATGAATCTTAAACATATCAACCAACTAACATCGCTATGAATCTTAAACATATCAACTAACATCGCTATGAAACTTAAACATATCAACTAACATAGCTATGAATCTTAAACATATTAACTAACATCGCTATGAATCTTAAACATATCAACTAACATCGCTATGAATCTTAAACATATCAACTAACATCGCTTTGAATCTTAAACATATCACTTAACATCGCTATGAATCTTAAACATATCACTTAACATCGCTATGAATCTTAAACATATCACTTAACATCGCTATGAATCTTAAACATATCACTTAACATCGCTATGAATCTTAAACATATCAACTAACATCGCTATGAATCTTAAACATATCAACTAACATCGCTATGAATCTTATACATATCAACTAACATCGCTATGAATCTTAAACATATCAACTATCTTCGCTATCATGCCAACCAACTGATCTTACTATCGACAACAAACACTTGCACTATCACGCTAACCAACTGACCTTACTCTTGACAGCTATCACTTGCACTATCACGCTAACCAACTGACCTTACTCTTGACAGCTAGCACTTGCACTATCACGCTAACCAACTGACCTTACTCTTGACAGCTAGCACTTGCACTATCACGCTAACCAACTGACCTTACTCTTGAGAGCTAGCACTTGCACTATCACGCTAACCAACTGACCTTACTCTTGACAGCTAGCACTTGCACTATCACGCTAACCAACTGACCTTACTCTTGACAGCTAGCACTTGCACTATCACGTTAATCAACTGACCTTACTCTTGACAGCCAGCACCTGCACTATCACGCTAGCCAACTGACCTTACTCTTGACAGCCAGCACCTGCACTATCACGCTAGCCAACTGACCTTACTCTTTACAGCCAGCACCTGCACTATCACGCTAGCCAACTGACCTTACTCTTGACAGCTAGCACTTGCACTGTCACGCTAACCAACTCCCGATTTCTCGCCTAACAGCAAAACAAGATGATGAACACACCAACCTAACCTAACACACCACTCTCTTTATTAAAATTTCTCTACTAAACAACGAACACTCAGTGTACACCCGCAGCCACGAACTGACCCCACGAACTGACCCCACGAACTGACGGACGATCTGACCCACGCATTGACCCCGCCATCAGAACACACGACCTACAACACACGAAACCTCTCACGACCGGTAACTCCCCCCCCCCCCCCCCCCCCCCCCCACACAACACAAATTCACGCTCCTAAATCTAGCTCACAGCAACGCTATAAAAGACAAACATAACATTGTTAAATAACTACACCATTGATGTTAAAACATATCAACAACCAACAGTGATGACTTTCCTATAATAAAGTTAATTACAAAACTCAAAAGTATTTTATGTGTGTTTTTTTTACATTACATTTTGTTACGGGGTTTGTATATCTAGCCTTACTTATCTTAGTGTACCTTTTGTTTGTTTGTTATTTAAATGTGAAAGGAAGGTGAAGCAAAATGTGTTTTATATATCAGTTAAGTGAATGCCTGTTTAACACTCCTGTTTTAAATGAGTATTTATTATAACTTTGGTAGATGTGTATGTAATTTAACATACACATGCCATGTTTTGATTTTAGTGTATTTTCAAATCATCTTGATGACTCACATACTAAGGGATATTTCTGAAGATTTTACCTTTTGATAATCACTGCGTATTTCTCTCCGCTTTGCTGATTCACGTCCTTGTTGCTCTTGTTTCGATGGACTTGCTAGACACAGACAAAATAGCAGATATTAGCTTACACGGTAGTACACAAACTGTAGATCCGAGTTGATGGGTCTGAGTTGACGGGTCTGAGTTGATGGGTCCGAGTGGATGGGTCTGAGTGGACGGAACTGAATGCATGGGTCTGAGTGGACAGGTCTAAGTTGATGGGTCTGAGTGAATGGGTTTGAGTGAATGGGTCTGAGTGGATTGGTATGAATGCATGGGTCTGAGTGGATTTGTATGAATGCATGAGACTGAGTGGATTGGTATGAATGCATGGGTTTAAGTGGATTGGTATGAATACATGAGTCTAAGTGGATTAGTATGAATGAATGAATCTGAGTGGATTAGTATGAATGCATGGGTTTGAGTGGATTGGTATGAATACATGGGTCAGAGAGCATGGGTCTCATTGAATGAGTCGGAGTGGATGGGTTTCAGTGAATGGGTCTGAGTGGATGGCTTTGACTGGATGGGTCTGAGTGGATGGGTCTGAGAGCATGGGTCTCATTGAATGAGTCTGAGTGGATGGGTCTGAGTGCATGGGTCTGAATGCATGGGTCTGAGTGGACAGGTCTTTTTGAATGCATTATTTTGTTTTACTATAAAGTAGAGTGCGTTCAAAAAGAAAATCGACGAAAATTTTAACGTGTGAACTGAAAAAAAGATTCGACCAAATTTCCGTTCGATCGAATTTCCGTCGATCATTTTTACCGTCGACGAAATTTCTTTCGATCAAATTTCCGGTAACCCGTTTTCTCATCGTGTGAGCCCTACAATAATATAGATTGTAATTTAAAACTAACCTGATCGTTTTTTGGCATTTCTGTTGGATTCTCTAAGTGTCCCATCCGTAGAAGACATGGCTGAGTTTTGTCTTGACTTGATTATGACTGTTGCTGTAACTATAAACCTAGATGAAGAATTTATGATGCTATACACATTAAAGAAAATATCTATTTTCTACTTCTCCACGGCTACAATAATTGTAAATACATTAAGCAGTTAATAAATTTAGGCTGAATGCAGTTGTAACAAGCCGTTACACAATTGCTAGATCTAAAAACGTGCCAATTTTCAAAACAACACTTGGAATTCCCGATTACGTGGCAATAGCGATAACAGGGGCCAAGATTCTCAGCTTTGGCTTGCAAAGTTGTATTTTTTAAATTTTTTTTTGCCCCTCCAAGCAACCAGAAAAAAATATTTGGTTAATTGCTGACAGGAAATTATTTCGAAGACAATTCGGTAGAAGTAGACCTGCCAGCCGAATTTTTTTTTCAAATTTCGGCTGGCTGGCATAATTTTTTGGCTGATATCCGGATTAGCCGGATTTCTCCGTAAAATGACATTTGCGGCTGATTTTCGGATGATTACGAAACATTCGGCTGTAGGTTCGGCTGAAGCCTGGCCAATAATGATGTAATACAACATCAGCAATAAAACACTTTTACAATACTTCAGAAAAAGTTGTATTATTTCATACGTTAGAAAAAAAAAGTTTTATATGCTGTCCTACTCATACAGTGCATGAATACATTCCATTCATTCAGTTTCTGTCACTCAATACCTGATACCTTAAAACGGAACGCCATGAAATTTAAGAAAGCAAAGACATTACGTCACGGCGACTCGTTCATTTTTCGGCGGATTAACGGCGGACGAAAATTCGGCGGCGTATTCGGCACGCGGCGTCGGCTGTGGGGGTCTACCGTAGAAGGTAATATTTAAAACGGAAATGTGTTATAGCGGTCATTCGTTTCTGAGGTAATGTCTAATAACGGTAATTTTATTTGTGAATAAATTTGTTCAAAACGAATTAAATTTCAGTCGAAAATCTGTTCAAGCGGTGTTTTGTTCAAATGGAATTTTTTCTTCGGAATTTCTTATTTGATTCTTTAACATTCAGATATTGATGAATTAAATGGGTTTTTTTTTAATTCATAATGCAACCACTATAAAGTAATGTTCAAGGCAGCCTAACAACTTTTTTCTAAATAACTGCATCCAAGCTACGTTTTGAAAACTTCACATTTTTATCAGCTCTTCCACCTTTCACACCCCCCCCCCCCCTATTTTTTCTTAGGATCAGTTCACACGATCGAATTCCTTTCAAATTTTCGTTCACACATTTGATGCGATTTTCTGTATGAAGCCATGTCGCAGTTTTCAAATCATCATTTGATGTAAACTTTGAGGGGATGTGATGTCAAAATACCAGTGTTACTAGCATTGCTACGCAACTCCGATATCACGCTAACAAACACTAAAAAAGAAGTTTGTCAATTTTGGTCGTGTTTACATTGACTGCGCTAAGTTATCGAAACAATAGCATCCTCCAAATAAGAATTGTGTACTTAATTTAGAGAAAGATATCATAGAAAATTAGAAAATAAATGCGTGTAGGAAAGTAATTTATAAATATACATTTTACGTATAAACCATATTACCGGTTTTCAAAACTGTGGGACAGCTGTGCATCATGGACAGCTGTGCATCATGGACAGCTGTGCATCATGGACAGCTGTGCATCATGGACAGCTGTGCATCATGGACAGCTGTGCATCATGCTTTGAAGAAATTTTTAATGTTCTCGATTCGTAGTATGTTGATCTGGATAATATAACATTTTAAAAAATTATATTGTTATTATGTTTTTCTTTAAATTAAGGATTTAACGAGGGCATTATCAATTAGTGCAGGTTTCACGAATTATTATTAAAGTGCAAGCGTTTGATTTTTATTTAGATGCACTACTTTTGTAAAAATTTCCTGAAAAACAGAGTTGTTAATGTTTATTAAATTTGCCCCTGCTTTTTAAAATCATAATTTTTTAACAATATAACTCACCAATCTGTATGCATTTTAAAAAAAAAATATGTATTTTCTTTTTAAAATGAAAACTCAATAGAAAGCTGAAAAAAACACGTCATTTAAAAAAAAAAAAATAAAATAGCATTGCGATATATCATGCTATTCAAATTGACGTCACCTAATAACTTTAACAACAATTATTTGTTCCAAAAATCTTCAATTTAATACTAAATACAAATGATTCGTTTGTTTTTTTAATGTGTTAATGTTTATCGAACAGGCAATTTATAAATGTATCTGAAGAGAAAGTTATGAAAGTTATAAATTTCAAATAACAATTTCAATCAACCCAATATTGGGAAATCTGTTGTTGTTTTTTTTAATATGATTTTTTAAGGATAACTTCACACATTAATTAAATGTGTGATGTCTTTTATGAACATGTCATGTATTCAATACATAATTATGTCCTTCCTATTGTATGCATTGTATGCTTGTAATTAGTTTTTGTAGTGTTGCGTTTGTTTTAAATGTGGTAAATTATAGATTTGTTTTTTTGTTGACTTTGTACCGAGCTTCGAGCCTTTGGGGATGAAGCGTGTTTTTTAAATGAACTTTATTATTATTATTATTATTATTATTATTATTATTATTATTTTATACGATTTATAAAAATGGAAGGTTTTATCCATTAAAATTTTCTACCGACATGATTTTTCTTTTTACTACTCACGTAAAGCTTTTAAAATTTTGGAAAATATATTTTGTATCCTTTTTCTTTTGTACATTTCATTCATCATCTTAATGTTAGAAATGCTTTCTTTTTTTTGTTTTGTTTTGGTGATGGAAATACTTTTTGGAAGTTAAAAAGAAATCATTTACTAATTAAGTAGTTTACCCAAAAATAATATTAATAAAAGAAAAAAAAAATCATTATTTGTAAAATTTGAAAGGAATATGTGTATTACATAACTAGGACAAGCAGAGCCGACGCTTGACTTTTCAAGGCCCCAAGGGCTATTTATGGTTTTGTCCTCTCCGTGTCTTACACTTAAATGTGATCATTTAACAGGTGTTCACATCACAAATTTAAGCCCCTAAGATAGGATCATCAAATGCACATTTAATGAGATTGGTACTTAGTCATCAAATGTACATTCAAGGTGATTGTTACTTTGTCATCACATACATATACGTACAATTGGAGTGGTCATCAAAAGTAAATTCAATGGGATGGTATCTCGTCACCCAAAAAAAAAAAAAAAACAACACTAAATGGAACTTGTACTTAGTCATCAAATGTGAATTGCATGGCATTGGTAACATCTGATTTCCCTTAACCATTTCTGCTTTGTTTGGCTTTGATTTGGCCAGTAAAACTTTAATGTGAATTTTCGGGTCACAAACATTTTTAAATTTTGGTTGGATATCAAGTAGTAAGGAAAATGCGGTCTCACGTTCAAATGTGGTTGCAAATGGAATAATCAATCCTCGATCCATCTTTGTATTAATGGGATATGACTGCGCCATTTCAATCTCAAACATCACTACAACGTATTTCATGTTCAAATTTGATACTTTGCACCTCAAATCATCTTTCTTCCCCATGAAACTTCAATACAGTCAAATCAAATTTTGAACATGAAACGTCATATCTAATAACTGTCTCGGAGGGCGTCATAATCTAAACAAAAACGACCTCTAGTTGAAATTTTAAATATAAATTAGTAATTAATATTTTTTTAAAGTTAACAACTAAATAAAAGACCAATTAATCAAGTTAATATAACATCCAAAGTATAACTAACATCAATGAGAAGGGAACATTTTACCAAGAAAAAACGGAATAGAGACGATTGGCATGTTAGACATAAGAACGATGGATTAAATATTTACACAAAATCCTTCTCTTACAAGACTGTAAAAAATTAAGTTAGCATGAAGGGAGTTTGGAGACGTAGGCTCCTCTCAAGCCACTATTCCATTTTCTCGATGGCTCTAAGTTTAGTGTTAGTTTCTAAGAACTGACAAGCCATTTTTTTTTTGGTGGAAATCTGAGAGATAGATACTAACTAAAATGACTCATATTTTTGACACAGCAGGCCTGAACTTTGTATCCACTCGCAGCTGGATTCTGAGAAAGAGCTGTGTGTTTACAACTACACTTTACTAGCGGTTCTCATAATTTAGTGAATATACCAAGTTTTATGGGAAGTAAATTGAATTCAAAGCTCAAAAATGTTTCCCTTGTTTATTGATGACGAGCTGAGAATCCCTGATGACGATAGCTAACTAATGTATGAAAGTGGTCTAGGCGTGAATGTAAAAAAAGTGGCTGGCGTAGGAACTTGTGCGAGCGAAAGTTACGCGCGTTTGGTAGATTGGTGGAACGGACGGAACGAGTCAAGGAGGGAAAGAGAAAACATTGTCGTCCAGTGATCCCTTTAGTGCGTAGTGTTTTGGCTAAGTTTGTTAGCGAGACTTACGGTACTAATTGGATGAGTCGTGTTCGTGATTGTGACAATCACTATGAATTAATTTGTCGTGTTATAATTAAGTGAAATGATTAATAACTGAACGCACTAAATGTCACGTTTTATTCTTGTAAACGGGAATAAGAGTCATACACTAGACAACACCGAAAACCACGTATTTCCATAACCCATTCTTGACACTTGTGTAACCTCGAAATGGTCAGTGGAATTATCCTATCTTGCAAGAAATTAACGCCTTTTTAATAATAAAAACTACAAAGGATTAGGCAATTCCCACATTCTTATTAAATGTCTACATAGATAAAGCCTTTGGGACTTAATCTTGTTGCTGTTTGATAACGTTTGGACAATTATATTGTATACAATTTTCTAAATAATGTAATACTTTAAATTATGACAATTTACTCTAGATATTGTTATACAAGCGAAACTTAATAAGGGGTGGGGTCCATTAATTATGTCATCGAAATAGGGGAATGGAAATGTTTGACAGTTTGTTGACAAGGGGGAAGGAGAGGTATTAAAATAGTTGACGTCAACAAAATAGGGGGTGGAAATGTTTGACAGTTTGTTGACAAGAGGGAGGGAGAGGGGTTTAGAATAGATGATGTCAACAATCTTTTTTTCTCTATTAAAATTTTAATCTTAAACATTGACTGGTATTACATTATTTTTAAAAAATTATAAGTGTGAATGAGTGTAAATGGTAATTTAATTTTTTAGGCCTTAACAATATAATATTTATTTAATGTGTGTCTGTCTGTGCACTGCTGAAGGCTAACCAGAATGCTAACACACTTTGTTAGTGCAAGAGAAGTCAAAATTTGTCCCATTTTCACCTGTAGATTCTGTTTGTCGCAAATGACTAGGGCGGTATGTTTACGATCATGTTGCAGGTTTGGAACAAGGACAAGGTTCAAATGCCTTGTGCAGTCAAGATAAATGATATTGTTAGAGTTGGAATACGATATTTTGAGAATTAGGGGAGAGTAAAATGAATAACAATAATAACTTCGCTGCTTGAAAGGATTTGCAAAATATGTAACATCTGTTTTGGATCACAATTCATGTGTTGAAAAAGCATGTTCAACAACACCGACAATTCCCTCTTCAGCAAAAGAAATTAGCACCTGCTCCTCAACAAAAAAAGGATTCGACCAATGCAAGAAACGAGATAGAGAGATATTATGGCAATGATTGCTCACACGGACAATGTTGAATGGTTAGATGAGGATGATGTTGACTTGTCTGGTATATCAAATCCACACGATGAAAATGATAAATCAGCTAATAAAGACAATCCCCATCAGGGGCTTCCTTTCATATTTTTTAAGGAGGGAGGGGGTGGGGCAAAACCAAAACTTGGTCGGCGTGTTAGGTTGTTTATTATTTAAAGCGCTACGGTACATAGCAATTTAAATAAAACCTGCAAAATCAAAGGGGGGGGGGGGGGGGGAATAGCCGCCTTGCCCAACCCAAATGATGTCCCTGATCCCCTTTGTTTTTATAGAGAAACACCTGGCTACTCCATGAGGAAGTAATAGCAGCTAAAAACTATACTAGATTTGTCAGGTTTACTGACAAAAATAATATTTATTTAACAAACAATTACCTGCAAAATCAAAGGGGGGGGGGGGAGGGAATAGCCGCCTTGCCCAACCCAAATGATGTCCCTGATGCCCATTGTTATTATAGAGTAACACCTGGCTACTCCATGAGGAAGTGATAGCAGCTAGAAACTATACTAGATTTGTCAGGTTTACTGACAAAAATCATATTTATTTAACAAACAATGATATTTAGTCTTTAACAACCTTTTAATTGATTCTTCATTATACAATTTAAGTGTAAAAACTTGTTAACTTGTTGATTAACGAGCTAAAGATTTAATAAGAGGGTTTTCCTACACTTTAGTGTCATTAAAATAGATCAGCACAACGTAAAATGTATTCATAAATTTATTTGTATTATAATTCAATGTTTTTATTTTTATCTCATTATTTATTTTATTTTATTTATTTGGGGGGGGGGGGGGTAGAAAATGTTGATATAATTATTTTGGGGGTGTCATTGAAAGTTTGACAGCTGTTGAAAGTGGGTGGAGGGGGTAAAAAACTACATAAAAATTGTTGACGTTATTAATGGACGCCCACTAATATGCAACTACATTATTTTAATTTATTAACATTTAACCATTTTAACGATCGTCCATGACGTAGTTACAGCATTCAGGGAACTTGAAGATGCCTTAGTCCAAGCTCCAAGCAGGTCATACTGTAGATGAAGCGAAGACAAAACATATGATGATGCAACGAAACTTCTTCGCTGGTGACAAACATTGTGGGCAGTGTGGGCAATGAGACCATGAGGGAGATGTGTGGAGAGAAGATTCATTCTTTCCTAATTGACACTTGAATGGATGACATTTTGTATTCATTGCGTGACCAACGCAATGAATCATTCTGGGTAATCCTTAGAACTAAACACAGCTGCTAAATGCTTTATTTCTTTTTAAATTGTGCAATTCTGATAGCTGAACCGGTGAAGATTAGATTTTCTCACCATTCCTCTCATACTTTTTTAGAAGCAACAAGAATGTACGTGACATTCTCATGACTACACCCTCCCATTCAAGAGCTGAGCCATGTGGTCGAAGCCGCTGTAAGACCTGCACTAGCTCCATTGAAAACTAATAAATCAACAGCCCAAGCAGATTTTCTTCAAATATGGGATTCTTTCCTTTCTATGGTGACGGAATGTTGTTTACATAATTGCTTATAAACGCTGCTTCAAGTGCTATGTTGGAGAGACATTACAGTGACTTGTGGATAGATTCAGTGAACATCTAAGAATCATGGCTAAAGACAAACAATATATTTTTTTAACTACTGGATCATCTTGCTAGTAAATTCTTATCAATTTTCGCGGGGGGGGGGGGAGGAGTTTAATTACATTCGGTCCAACTTCTAAGGGCAATAATTACCCTAATGAAGAGGGTAGGATGTACTCTACAAACTTTGTTAAGTGACACAGAAATCCTTTTCTTTAAATAGTTTTTCAATCAATTATATTACTAGCGTCTTGTTTAGTCTATTTAATCAGTGATTGGTGTAAAGCAAAGAATTTCTACACCAGCAGGTAATAATTAATTTCAATAGGCTTCCAATTGTTTCACTCTTTAAAATAATTTGTTTATTTATGCCAAAATTGAATCCAATATTTGGATTGGTTGTTACAGTATGCAATAGTTTAATAGCTTGAAAGCCTTTGAATCTATTGTACATGCCAATATGTGAACATATTTTTATTATTCTTTAACAAATTTGAATGAATAAATTAATTATTAATAAATATTTTCTTAATATGTTGAAGCGTAAAATTTAATTTTCAAAAGATATTTAAAATTTATTACAAATAATAAAATAAGTAACACTTGTATATTGAATGTAATTTTTTAATATGTTTATTGTATTATTATTTTTATGTGAAAGTATCGATGCAATGATTAATTCTGGTCTCGAAAAAAAAAAAACCTCAAAAAATCATTAAAAAATATTCAATAGACACATGCACAAAAGAAGTTTTCAAATTCCATTTTTAAAAATATTTAATACATTTTTATCAGAAGTTTTTACGTGATGATAGTTTGATGTGCAATGTTGGGTTGAGAACATACCAGTTCAGCACAGGTTTAATCAAATACACTACTGAGCTCTAACAGATAAGTACCGGGAAGATATATCATCATCTTTTCATATGTGAACAGACGTTACTTTGGAGATGGTGTCGGTGAGTCGTCGAGTTCGCACTCATAATACCCCCCGGCACTCCCCCAAACGGGCCAAGGCCTCCCCAGAAGCCCCAGATCATGCGGAAGTGCGCCGGGAACTTCCCTTACTGGCCTAAGGGATGTCCGGCAGACCGAGGGCGCTGCGTTTAAAGCGTCCGTAGTCCACTCTCCTATGGGTCAGGACGGCTTTTTTTCCTCTCCGGAGAGGTGGTGATGCGTCACCACTCCCCACCGCCCAGTGAGCTGCCCGGTCGGGACGTAGCGGGGACGAAACGGTCGCCTAGGGGCGGCTTTCTCAGGGCCGCGTCTTTTTAATCATTCACAAGGGTTTGGGCGGCCACCCATTGCATCATACCCATCAACGGCAACAGTAATCATGTTAGCGCTAAACTTCCATTGCGTTGGAAGTCATGCATTTTGCCTGGGATCTTTTAGCTTCAGAAGGAGCAAAAACTCCCCCCTACTAGTCGGGCACGCCACGAAGAGGCAAGATCCCGTGTAACACCACCTAGAGGCTTGTGGTGCTGGGCAAGGATTTTCCAAGGGTCCACTCTTAACCCGCCCGACATGTGAACAGACGCAAGAGACGATTGGATAGATTGACGATGAAAAAAAAAAAGTAAACAATATTTTAAGTTATGAGAAAATTATTTTATAATTACTTGGAAAATGCTGTCATATTTTTTTTTCTTTCTGAAAGCTGTTATTACGATTTCAATGTTGTTAGTCTTAAAATAAATTAATATACCAAATGTTGTTAGCATTTAAAAAAAAATGAAATAATAATTAGTTTTATTCTACTTTTGCCTTCGATAGGATTTTTAAAGAATATGAAAAGGTTTCTTGTGGACCTTTTAGAAGATTGTCATTTAATTATACCGAATAAATCAATTCTGTTCTGTTATGATGTTGTTATATCTTTGAAAATGTGTTTTAAGAAATCATATTTGTTTATTTAATTGATTTTACAAAAATAAACATTTACAATATATTAAATGACAAATTAGAGAAACGTTAAAAGTGAATTATTTATAAACACGATTGTCAGCTTCACAGTTGACTTTCTCATAGGAACTGATGATATTCTCATAGTCACAATTGACATTTTTTTAATGACACTTTAAAGCAAAACTGTTAAATGCAAATGGCTTTCGTCTATAAAAGATACGAGTCATGGTAATTATTTTTTTTAATATAACATTATTGAAGATTTATTTATGATTTATTATTTATTTTTATATTTCTCTGCATTACCGGATACACAGAATAATATTTATAATTACTCTACTAAGATTATTTCATATTCCACTGCACTAACTCCGATACTACAGTCCATGTTATAGATATTTTGTTGAATCAGATTTTTTCATATTCCACTGCACTAACTCCTACACTACCATCCATATAGCTATGGGGATGAAGAGACATTGCAGTGAACTTCTCCGGTCTGTATATTGGCGCCCCACAGCAACCATTACCAAGATTGAGCCGATAGACGTATATAGAGTTGGTTATGCCACTGGTTGTGTACTGTGTCTGTTGCTTATACTGACTCCCAATAGACACATGTTTAGGCAGGCCGTCGGGATGAGACACAGTCAGCACGAGGTTTTGTTGTGTTCGAGTGTTGTATTTAATTCTTGTGGAATCGTGCAAACGTGTAAAGGCGTAAATTTCACGAACTAGTTGTTGAGCTACATCAGGATCGTCAATTGCACAGAAGATCTCACACCTGCCACTCTCAACATCCGCGACAACTTCCTGACAACTCAGTACAATTACATCAGAGGTCTCCGTGTCATAATTCAATATGCAGGTTGTGTGTTGAGCTTCACTCTGATCAAATACTGCACTGGTGCTTGTGACTATCTTGATCCTGTCGTTGTCATCTTCAGCCATTCTTGTTCCTGGGCTTGCACCTTTGAATTTAACAAAATCAATCCGCCCTGTTCCCGTGATCGATCCTTTGGGGTATTGTACAGTTGTCCCTGGATAGACGTCCGGTCTCCTGGGACTTGTTTCTGTCACTACAATCTTTACAATCAATTTACCAAGCGCTTGAACAATGTTTTTGATATCATCTGGTTCATATCCCTCGGGCACATCAAGGCATCCCAGATCAGTGAAAGGGATAGATTGAGACGTTCTGTCATTGATACTATTTTCACTTAGATCTGAGCATTAAAGACAACATATATGAGATAAGTATTTTTGTAAAAAAAATGTTTCCTGAAACGATGGAGCTAAGACAAATTATAAAGAAAGTTATAAGAAAAATATTTTCAAATTTAAATTTTAGACGCCTGATGCAATAAAGACAAGGACTAAAATCTAAAGTACACCCATAGTTGAGGGTCCAGGGGTCGAGTACTGGTTAAAAAATAGAAGAAACCCACACAAGATTCCCCACTTACTCCAAAGATGAATATGTATTTATTAATAGGAATAAAGGTACTGTAATGGTATTCCCACGCATTTATGCAGGAATCCACCACTGAATAAACTCTCTAGACACTGTAAAATTATACAAGGATATGTACTAAAAACACATGGAAACAAACCAGAACATTGAGAAGACAATGATGTTGTATTTGAATTGTTTGTTAGAACTGTTTTTAAAGATAATACGAATGAACTGTCTGTCCTTTCAATAAACGTATTACATAAGGGGTCAGTACCAATCTGTGTTCATCTTATCGCTCGTGTTCTGAAATTCAATTTTTTCTGAGACCCTGAATCAAAACTACTGTTTGCAAGATAAAATAGGCGAAATAAATTAATGTGCAAACCTGAAAAAAAGGAGAACGCAACAAAACAACGAACGTATTTTCAAAAAGATCCCACAGGATACTACATTGCAGCAAAGTGTATATGTTTACTTTTTATTTAAAATTACTTTTACTGTTGTTTATTCTCCGAAGCAGGCTTTTTGCCGACACGTTTGTTGTTTTGTTGCGTCCATTTTTCAGGTGTCCCCATACTTTATTTCACCCATTTCCTTTAACCTAGCCTGATTGCAGTCTCTTCCCCCTACTACCATGTTTTTGAGAGCCCAAGAGTAAAAATATTACATAAAACAAAATAAGAGCCTAATTGATGTTGAATACAAAAGCCAACATCTGGGGAAAAAACTCAGAATTTTTTGTTTTCTTTTGATTTTATCCAATTTTACGTTATTTCTACATTTTTTTCTTCAAAATTGATTTTGAGTAAGTACCATCTGGGTTACAACATGGCCCGTAGCCCACCAGCAGCAACAAGCTGGCTAAAACTTCATTTACAGACCACGAAGCTGCAACTTTTGTTCCACGTCTTCAACAGACTGTTTAATATGATCTTGTCTTTAATCGTTTGTCAATTGATATGGATGTTTCACATTGAGCCATATTGTAAAAGTCGTGAAGAGTATCTGCTCTCACGCTGCTCCCGAACTGCACCCTGCTTCTGAGGCTGAGTCGATATTACCTGAAAGTTGTTCAAATGTTTATCTGTGTTTGTTTTGTCGACCTCTTTCTATTTGTCTGCCTCGTAAATCTTACGATGTCTTCCAAAATTTGGTATTACAATTTTTTTAAATTCTATTTTTCAGCGGCTATAGCCAATATTTTTTAGTTTTAAATAAAAAAAAAAATTAATACAAATGCTAATGCCGATAAGCTAATTATAATTTTCATTTACAAAAAAAAAACATACCAAAAAAACCCACACAAGAAAAAAAAAAGGAAAATCTAGCAAAAATTTACAAATATCTAATAGCTCATGACGTAATGAGTCTATTGGGATAAGTATTCCTACTATTTTCAAAACATTTTGAGTAGGCCTTGTGCAAGTTGAACCATAGTTTATCTCGTACTTTTAAGAGCGCTAAACTCAGCTGAGCCAGGAAGTCAATGTTGATGGTCCATCAGACATGAACCCTTAATGGCATCTTGAAGAAGACCAACAGAGGGTCGTTTCACACGAAGATTCCTTTTGCCAGTTGGGTAAAGTGGTCATGATCTCTCGCGCACCCAAATGACATAGAGCCATAAAATCCCCCTTATGTCACTATCGAAGCCCTTCGGACGGCCTCATATATTCCGTATTGTCAGTCAATATAAAAGTATAGAGTTGTTGCTGTTTCTGCGTCAGATCATTAGACGGATAATCCGAAAACTGGGCGTAGTTCCAATGTCCTTTCATTCCTTAACAATGATAGCTTTTACCAACGGTCCCATATTCAACTTTGTCCCCAATAACGCCTTGGTGGCTGATACATTGATCCTTTACGGGTCTTATGAAGTGCCCAGCATCATCAAACACTTCACATTATAGTGTAATGATTTCATACTGCCACATTCAGCGTATGTGGGGGCTTAGTGACTCCACTGATAAGAGTGACGGGATCACAAATCATCAAACCCCGTGAGGGAAAGGGGGGGGGGAAGAGATTAGTAAATTAACTGCTCCCTTGTACGTATGCATATGCGTCCAAAAGATACAGGCATTTAAAGGGTGTGAAAGGCGACGCCAACACAGAACAAGAACACATTTGTTAAAATACCAATAATAATTTTAACAAAATTAGTGCAGATAAAACCGTGCACCAGTTGACGATTGATCTAAATAATATCAGTGGACAATAGTTTTAAATATAATGTAATGAAAATATTCACTTATATTTACCTGCAATTAATATTTTTAATTTGCCATCTTGCGTCATCGTTCCGTGTCTTTCTTGGCGACTAGAAATGATGAACGATCATCAAATATTTATAAAATTTATTTTATTTATTTAATATATCCAGCAATGGTGTGTATGTCTTATTCCATCAAATGAAAGACATTTTTAAGAGTGACAAAGAGAAAAATTGAAAAAAAATTAGGGAGTAAGACTGGGAACTAAAGACAGATATTAAGCGAGAATAAAAAAGAGGGGATTTGAGGATTAGGAAGTTAGGGAGAATAACAAAAAGAGGCAAATAAAGAGGTAAAAGGAAAAAAAAAGTAAGAGATAAAGATTTGAGTTAGGAGAGGTAGAGAAAGAGAGAGAGAGGGTCACACTGATTAAAAAAATATCAGTGTGTGAGGAAGACTGATATTTATCAAGATATATGAATATAGAATAAAAAATGAGACAATTGTAGACAGACATTTAAATAGTAGAATAGGTAGATGTGAAAGAAACATAAAAAGAGAGATACAGAGTTATTGCAAAGGGTAACGAAAGGAAGGTAGCATAGCAAAAAAAAAAAGCCGTACACTCGTTCACAGACAGGGAATCGAAATTTTATTTAAAGATAGAAGTACAATTGGACAACGGAAAGAACATTATGAACGAAAGAGAAAGGAAGGAAGGAGAGCGAAAAGAAAAGGAAAGGAATGACAGAGAGAGGAAGACGGAGAGATAAAAGATGGAGAGTGGAAGGACAGATATATTTAAGAAAGAGAAAGGAATGACTGAGTGGGAAAAAGGAGTGACAGAGAGAGAGAAAAACGGTTTAAGAAAAAAAAATACAAGAAAGATATACAGTGAGAACAGTGATACGAAAGAAAGAGAAAGAGGAGAATAAAAAGGAGAGAGAAAGAGAGAGGGGGAGACAGAGAGAGGGAAAACATGCATAATCTTTAAATATGTTGTAAATAAATAGATATTACTTTAAAAAATGTTACAGTTCTACAATACTCAAGTGTTTTGCAGGTCACTTACACAAAGGTAATGGACAGCGGGAACTCCAATGCAGGTTGTGTAATAAGATAAGCATCGACAGAGAGGCCAAGTCTCTTGATTGACACTAATACCAAATATGGTTATGCTAAGGTTAAAGTTCAATATGTGATACGACTGATGCAACACACACACAAACTGATAAGCAGAACCTGGCTGAAGGTGCACAGCTGACAAAATTACTGATAACACTTGAAACTGGAACTAGTTGTTTTTCTTAGAAACCTGTCTTAAATGTAACCCCTCCGTCACCACATCACAGTTAGTGACTAAAACTATACCAGAGACCCCGTTATGGCAGATATAATGTCCAATACCATAGACCAGCGGTTCTCAACCTGTGGGTCGCGAACCCTTTGGGGGTCGCATTACCATTTCACAGGGGTCGCCTAAAAATCTGAAAACACATATCCTCTACTGTTATATCGTATCAACGAAAATATTTTTGTTGTTGGGGGTCGCCACAACATTAGAAACTGTTTTAAAGGTTCGAGGCATTAGAAAGGTTGAGAACCACTGCCATAGACCAAGAGTTCTCAAACAGTTGAGTGCCAGAATTAGAAACAAGGGGCATTCAACGAAAAGAAAAAGGACTACCAATTAAAATTTAAAAAAAAAACTACATGAGTAGAGGCGTAGCGATGGGGGGGGGGGCAGATGTCCCCTGGCGCCAGTTGGTTAGGGGCGCCAAAATGGGCTTTGATATTATTTTATTGATGAAAATAATGGGTTTGAGAGTTGAAAAAAAGAAAAAGGGGCGCTTTAAAATGGATCTTCCAATGTTTCATCAAAGCAAGTTAACACGTAATACTAAATATTAAAACGAGACATTTTCTAGTGCAAAGAAAGACTGCAATCAGACTACAGGAAACACATATTGTTAGAAGAAAGAACTCTTATGCCAGAAATATACATGTACAAAAAACACAAGTGCAGCTCAAAAGTAGAGTATATGAATTGCTTCAGTCGGATAATAATTTATAACATTTCAAGATGTAAACGTCTTTCAAGAACTTATCAATCACGTGTCTTTTGGAGCTCAGCCCCTTTCCCCCTCCCCCGCCACATTTTTTTTGGTTTGATGCCCTCTGCATTCAAATTTGACAGTTTAGTTTTCTTTCCATATCACAATTTTGGGCCCCTTAAAAATATTGTCATTTGCAGCTGCAGATGTTTCAGATTGCAGAGTCCATGCGACGACCCTGAGAATAAAACAAATCATTTACTTCTCCTTAAAAGGTAAACATGAAAGTAAGGATTTTGATTACAGCTGGGATGACTAGAATAAAAATTGCAATGTCAGCTTATTGGGTCAGCGACACAAATGTGAAAAAAAAAAATACTTTTTGAAGATTTTGTTTCAATGGATATTCATTTATTGGTGTTTTTTTTGTTTTTTTAATCTAGCCCATTTTATCATCTGCCGAAAGCACGGCCTACATGGGAAGCCATATCAATGGTGCTTAAGGGGGGGGGGCGTGTCTTATTCGTAACTATCCCAGGCGAAGGCCACGGACGAACGCCAAAATAGTAAATTATCTTCTTTATAGTAAATAGGCCTATTTCTCTTGTGTAAAAAGGGGGGGGGGGGGAAGGCGGTCTTCTCCTCAAACCGGCTAATTTAAAAAAAAAAAAAATTAAGCAGCCCTGAGAAGTGGAATTTTCAGGTAAAAGCTAAAAAACCAAAATTACTAGTAAGAAGCAGAGACAAATTTTATGAACACAAACTAAAATCGTGTATACACCAAAATGATTTATTAATTTATTTCATTTTGAATTTATCAACATTTTTCTCCAAACCCCTACCCCCTCTTTTTTTCACACAATTCCCAGTGTTTGCCACAGGTGCCACTTTTTCTCGGCATGGCCATCATATTAAACTGATTGTTTAAACTCAAAAGTATAGGTAACTGACATGCAGTGGCATAAGAATGGGGTTGCGGCAAAGGTCTGAGCGGCCCGGGGGCACATTTTTTGTAAGTTATTGTTTAAAAGGAGGGTTGATCAAAAGCTAGACCAACCCTCCCTGTCATAGACAAACTAGGCGACCACTAAGGGCCGCTGCCAAAGGGGTCCAGCCTGGAACTTTTTTTTTTAGCCTGCAACTTGCAAATCTATTCGCGAGCAAAAAGGAAACAGTGACGAAGGCAGAATGGAGGTGCCGCAGTGGTGGGTGGTGTTTTCTCCTCAGATCCGGAGGAGCTCCAACCCCCCCCCCCACTGGAGCCCCGCACCTATGCTCCATACCTGGGGCCCCCAAAATCCTGGTCTATGCAGGTACTGCAAACATCTTGCTGTGCTGTCTGATTTACGATTAAACAAAAAGATTCAGTAATATAAAGACATACAATCTGAGTTGAAACATGTTAATGAAGCTTTATTGAAGCGAAATACACATCGGCTACAAGCATTTGGAAGAAAAATAATATTATCATAAACATTGTTCTAAAATTAAACAACAAAATTGCCATGACAATATTAGATCATATTGAAATGTAACAAGTATATTATATTCATATTAAAACACACCAAAAATAGCATGCGTTTCCCATATATATTCAATTTGTTATCAAATTATAACATTAGCAGATTTATTATTTTTAAAAAAGTTAAAATTATTGAGTATGGTAAAAGAAATGAATGAATGAAGTAAAATATTTTCATTTTTTTATCATGAAAATATAAAATGAGATGTAACGATTCAAGTAAAGTAAAAAGTTAAACTAAAACATGTAATTAAGATCAAATAGGATTCTTTTATTGGTCAAACAAATAGGAACTGCTGTATTAAAATGTACAGATTAAATTTCAAGACATTAATATAAAAATATTCTCACCAAGACGACTTTTTTAAAACTAGAACAATTTAAACACAAGACTTCTCTTGTTTTACACAAAGGACAAACATCTGCCGTAGTCTTCCATAGAACCTCACACCCTTAGTTACAAAATTGACTTTCAAAGTAAATGTTTGATTTTATAACAGCCGATGGAGTACGCGGATGTTTAAACTGTTTTAACAATTAGATTTACATTACATGTGAATTTATATTCTGTTTTAGAAATCTAATATAGTGTAACAACCATGTAAAAATACAAGTAATTTTAATGGACGATGGCCAAGTACAAATCACATCGCGAATTCCAATGCTCCACTGACCACCCATCCCCCACACCAAACTATAAACGTTCCCACACTGCTCCACTATGTCCCCCTTTACCATCATTGCCTTTACTGTGAGGAGGTGATATCCAAATACTTTCCTTGCTCAACATGTAAACTGGTGCCCCACTACTTCCGGGACAGGAGTGATTGTCGTAATAATTCTTGACATAACCAATGTCACTACGCAACTTTCTCAGAACTTCACGCTGTGTGTTTTTACCTATTGTAACATGTTTTGAATACCCGTGAGGGTGGGATATAAGTATAACTAGGTCATTGACCCCCTCAGTAAGGTATCTTTCGTAAAGTCTTGTATGACAATCTTTATAATCATAAATCATGTACATGAGATTATCGGCCAGGTTGACGTCGTGTGTAACACAAATAATCTCAGCTGTGTCGTATTGTCTGCTCATTTGACTCACTCGGATCCCCTGTAGTTTGATCACATCAGAGTTCTCAGAATCGTAATACATCAGACATTCAGCACGCGATGCCTCGATATCATCACACACCACGTGGGCAGCAGTCCTAATTTTAATTTCTCCCCAATACTCGACTGGATTAGTTTTACAGCCTCGACAGGGACATCTGCAGAATCTTGAGATTTCTTTTACCTCTGAAAATATGATATTTCCACTCCCGACCATTTCATCTGTTGTCTGAAGTTCCACCAATCCAATATCTGGTCGATTTGGACTTGTTCCTTTAAAAGTTATCTTCACTACAAGTTTGCCGAGGGCAGTAACCAAGTTGTCAAACATCTTATCCTTGTTGTAAGGATGTGGAAGTTGGCGGTGTCGAAACTCTTTAATTGGCACAAACTCTGTATGATTCAAAATTTTATCACATGTTTCGGTGCAAAGATTCTTGACCAATCTCAAGTGCGGGGGACAACTTGAAACAGCTGATTGAAAAAAGACAGTTTGGTTACTTTTTTAAAGCAGCACTTACATTAAATTAACGCTCATCTCTCTCTCTCTCTCTCTCTCTCTATTTCTCTCTCTCTCTCTCTCTATTTCTCTCTCTCCCTCTCTGTATATATCAGAATAATGAGTTGTTTAACTACCTATCTACCTAAACGTTAATTTATATATATCTTAACTTTTATCAACATTCCACCCACTATGTCACAGTTAATTTTAAAATCAAGCCGATCATGGCAACTTCTTTGCTTCAAAGTAAAGACCGAAAGATAGATGGTATGTGTTTCCCAGAATTTACCAGTGTGTTTCCAAGTGTTTAAAAAAATATATAATCACCCTTAAAGTCAATATGGAATTAAGGAAGATAGGTCTTATGATTTATGATAACTGTTTTTTGCGCTTGAGAAATCTTTTCAATGGCTAATATTTGAATTGTTTTCGTCTTTACAAAATTTATGCAAAACTCATTTCTTTTTATCGCACTCTTTAAATTAGCTTGCAGTTTTGTCTGAGTAAAATCTTGTAACTCAATTTTCAAACGATACAGCTTTAAAATTGTGCATGGTTCACCCATTCTGGTGATAATACTACCATGCATGATCAGTGCATCAATATTGAATTACTTTGACCCTTGAGTAACCTCCGCATGTCAATTCTGGAATCTACTTTTTGCCTTACTTCCCGATCTCCGAATTTAGCTGAAACATTGAACACTTTCACACCCTGAAGGCAATACAACCATTCATGGTATTAGATCACCAGTGACCTCACTTGACCTTGAGTGTACTCTTGATCAAATCTTGAATCCCCATTTTCACCTAATCACCCTGGTCTCCAAATGAGCTAAAACGTGTACATTATATATACATTTCCCCCAAAACTTCATAGTTATTGCAGACATAGAACTAAAAAAGCATAAGGCACCCATTAAATACAATGATGTCGTATGAGGTTCTTTTTCGGGGTGATCTGTCCGTTTGTTAGTTTGTGTGTAGTCAAATCCTGCCTCTCAACTCTTACCCACTTCCTCATCTCCACTTGAGCTGAAAAAGGTCCATTAAACTTATGTGTAAAACATGTTTCTATAGTCATATGTCTGTTTAATCTCTGAAGCTTTCCGGGACTTGTGTTTGATACTTTTATCAAATTTTGGGAAAAAATAGTTTTTTAACAAATTATTTTTTATTTTGCTCCTCTTATCTCAGGTTTTCAAATCTGTATCTCAATCCTTAGCTTCTGGTTCATTAAAATATAATTTTAGTGTTAAGTTACCAAAGGTTTCACACATTGCTGCTCCATTCTCTTTATTGGCACCATCTGGTAATGGCTACAAAAAGAAAACAAAAAACCTGGATTTTTAATGTTATTTGGCAATAAAGAAAATATGTATACATTACTTTACAAAAAAATTATTCCATTCTATAAAACTCATAGTTTTTGTTTTTTTTCTGACAATACATTTTGAATTTAACAATATGTGGATTTATGAGCACGACCTGATTATTATATCAATTTAATGTATGTTCATATGATAAATATTAGAATAAAAATAAATGCATTTAATATAACATATTAGTGTGTATGTATTAAACATTCCTTTAATGTGGAAGTATTTAACATCCCTTCAACGTATCAAGAGAAAGAATGTGCGGAATTAATATACGTTCATTTTATGTGCATGTAAAATTCCTTTTGTGCATGTCGATTTAAAAGAGTTTCGAGGTATAAGTGTTTAGTAAATAGCTCATGTGTATGTGTACCAGTATCTAATATACTTCGGTAAATATATAATTTTATATTCACTTAGAATGTGTAATATCTTATTGAATAAAAAAAAATCCCTCAACATATAATAACATGGAGTAAGAATGTGTTTTCAGTGATCACTTACTACACTATTAAATTATTTCATTTTAGTAAGTTGTTTGATGATTGCCTAAGATGACATGGAATGCTTTTTTTAATTTAGCTTTTAGCTTTTGATAGAAGATACCATATGATTAACTTATGGAGATTGATCAGTTTGATAGATCATATAATAATATGAGCTTATAGAGATTTTACCTTTTGATTATCAACAAGTCTTTGTGCCAGCCTTGCTTTTTTGAAAAAAAAATCATTTTGCCTTGAAAGGGTTGCTAGACAGGGACAAGAACAGAATGTTACATTATATTACATGGCTTTGGACTGGCAAGCTATTGCCCATGAGCCACATCCGGCCCATAGCTTTGGTTTATCCTGGCCGCGGAGTCGATATATCCTTTGAAGAGATAGAAGAATTCCGCGTCAGTACATATTATGCCTTTAACAATAACAGGGGAGAACATTTTTCACCATTTTTAAAAGTTCACTGCTTAGTACAATTGCAGTTGTCTTAATTGAAATGCGTCACTAAAGAAGATTTTTTAACATGTGTAGTGAATGAATAGGCATAGTTGAGCCCCCCCCCCCTCCCCCAAGCGTTCTACAGGATCATCGTACCGACACTTGTCAAAAACTAAAGACTAAGCTACACAGTAGCCTCTCTGGTCCAGGACATAGCTATACAATAACCTGTCTGGTCCAGGACTAAGCAATACAATAGTCTGCCTGGTCCAGGCCATAGCTATACAATAACCTGTCTGGTCCAGGACTAAGCTATATAATATCCTGTCTGGTCCAGGACTAAGCTATACAATAATCTGTCTGGTCCAGAAATAAGCTATACTATAGTCTGTCTGGTCCATGACTAAGCCATATAACAACCAATCTGGTCCAGGACTAAGCTATACAATTACTTGTCTTGTCCATTCTAATGGACTCAAAAGTCATTTATTTTGGGGAAAATTCAAGTATCGGTATGATGATAATTGTCTCCATCTGTGAGTATAGCCAGTCCTTTGGGCTTTTGAGTTGAAATAATCTTAGTATTTTTTTTTTTTTAAATTTCTAGTCAACAGTCTCTATGCAAGGGTTAAAATATGTATGCATCAGTTATAGTTTACACGATTTGTAGCACTTATAGATATTTATATATGCGGTTAATGTATATTAGGGTGACAAAACGTCCCGTAACAACGGGTTTGTCCCTTTTTTCACGATCGTACCCGGTGTCCCAAAAAAGTCTCTCGCGACGCCTAAATGTCCCGTTTTTTAAAACCAAACACATTTTCAGATCATTCAAATTCCAAATTTATAGTATAACTTGACGTAATATTTTGGCAAGCAGTGTAGCCAGTGCCAGTAGTGACGTGGGCTCGCGTGATGACTGCACTGTTCCCCCTCCGCCACTCTGCCGACGATGCGTAAACGACAGTGTCATTGCCATTGATCTTAAATATATATATAGCGAAAGACACGCGACTTGAAGTGAAGTTAAAATTTAAAAAGATTGCCAGGTATCGAAATAGTTAAAGTGAGCATAATTCAATAAACAGTCTCCGACGGAGGGCCCCGGACCATCTGTAGCTGGAGGGTATCCCCCCAAACCCTCCTTGGATGTGTCCCATTTTTTCCAGTTCATGATTCGGTTACCTTAATGTAGATACATAGATGGCGACTTTGTATAGTAGTTTATAGTTTCTTAAGTTCGTTTCCAACAAACTGAAACAAGCTGTTAGGAAGCCACGTTGAGACAAATACTCCGGACACTATTTTTTGTATTTCCAAGAATTATAATGGGCCGAAATGAAATGTATACTAAGCAATACAAATATTTTCTATCCTCAAAATGGGTTTAATACTTTTGACTGACAAAGCTTCTGATGCTGTCGATCAAATCATTGAGTGAAAAAGTCGCATCGTTCCCCACCCAATCCTATACCACTAATCAACTAAATCCTGTGACAGACCATGTCTGCAAATTTGCACACGAAACCCTTAAGTCAGGGAGGTGTCATGATTTGAGTAGTGAACTCTATTAACTAGCTTCATTTCACGAGAAAAGAGAATGAACTATATTTGTGTACAGCAGAGGTGAACCGCACGTTATAGTGATCAGGGCAGTACATCTAAAGTCGAAGAGAAGATAGGACGTGTTTAACTTACTGTCATGTGAATTATTTCCATCATGCTGTGGAGTATTATATAGGTATGAGATAACTGCATTCTCTATTTGTAACTTGGATATTAATGCAAGGCATATTATTATTATTGTTATAGTAAGTGAAGTGATAAAGTACTGTGCAATTTATTCGTGGAAGTTAACATCTACTTCGTTGTGTGGCAGGCCAATCAATCGAGTTGAGGAGTGAAAGAAGTGAATTAATTATTACATTACACAAGAGAATCCGGCATCCTGAACTATCAAGTAAGTGAAATAGTTAACCATGATACTACCACAATAATTAGCATCTGTTACAAATCCTTTACCTTGTCTCTTCTTGTTGTTCTTGAATTCTGTTTTATTGTTAACGCTGGCTGACATGACTGAGTCGGTCCTTGATTTAAATCCTACAATAATCAAGATATGGATTGGCGATGCTGTGCTTTAAATAAGAAACAGATCAAATTTCTGGCGCTGCAGAACTAAAAAGAAAATAGTGTTCTGTCTTTAACTAGTGTTCTGTCTTTAACTAGTGTTCTGTCTTTAACTAGTGTTCTGTCTTTAACTAGTGTTCTGTCTTTAACTAGTGTTCTGTCTTTAACTAGTGTTCTGTCTTTAACTAGTGTTCTGTCTTTAACTAGTGTTCTGTCTTTAACTAGTGTTCTGTCTTTAACTAGTGTTCTGTCTTTAACTAGTGTTCTGTCTTTAACTAGTGTTCTGTCTTTAACTAGTGTTCTGTCTTTAACTAGTGTTCTGTCTTTAACTAGTGTTCTGTCTTTAACTAGTGTTCTGTCTTTAACTAGTGCTCTGTCTTTCACTTCAAGATTAGTCACTTTAAAACACACGTCACACATCCAAAGCCTTCTGTATCGGCGCCAATTTTGAAAAAAAAAGTTATGTT